TTTTTTTTTTTTTTTTTTTTTTTTTTTTTGAGACAGGGTCTTGTTAAATCACTAAGTTGCCCAGCTGGGATCAAATTTGTGATCCTCCTGTCTCAGTCTCCCAGAGCACTGCGATTACAGGTGTATGTCAGCATGCCAGGATGAGAACTATTTTTAGATCATACATATTCCAAATCTGTGGATTTTCTAAAAATGGTCCAAAATAACTTTAACTATGTTTGTCCTACAGTTGGAAAGATTTCAGAATGTTTCCAAGTAGAGTGGCAACTGACAGCCTTTTCTCTTTCAGGGAAGAAGAGAGGGAAGAAAAGAGAAAGAACAGGAAAAAAAAAGGAATAAAGCAGATCAATTGAGGTTCATAAGCAAAGAAACTGATCTGTTTGAAAAATAGCTCATCTCACACTTCTAAAACAGATAACATGATATGCATGTCATTGATATTTTTAACATATATGTTCTATATTCTTAACAAGTATACGTATGTATCTCTACAGGAGTAAACATTCACTGTTATTCTTTGCTATTATCTATTTACTATTGAGATAGAATCACAACCTAAATTTTCAATCCTCTTGCCTCAACCTCCCGAGTAGCTGAGATTACAGGTGTGTGCCACCATAACCAGCTCTCACTGACATATATAAAAATAGGCATCTTATTAAATACAAACCTCAAAGATTTTACCATTGAAAAGGGTCTTCTTATATATGAAAATTATTCTTACATCAAAAAAACTCAACTAATTTGAGAAATATCTCAAACACTTTTTTATAGCTATAGTAAATTACCTATATTTAATCTCTCTCCATTTGTATTTATTGAAAACTATTTTCTTATTACAAACTGATGTTTGTTGTAGAATATTTACAACCACAAAATAATAAAAAGAGGAAAATAAAAATTCCTCAAGTCTCACTAACCACATAATTGCTGTCAACATTTTGATTTTAATCTTTCCATTTTTTTGTCTCTATATACATATTTGTTGGTCACTAATAAGAAACTGATTAGTAAGAATATAATTATGAAAGCAGTTTTCTTTAACAAGCAAATATGCATTATATACTCAGGTATTTAACGGATGAATAAATCAAAGATATTAATATAAAGACAATTCAGAAATTAACATTAAAGGTAATAATTACATTTTAATTCTAAATTCTAAGAATTATAAGTCTACTATAGAGATAAGACATATTTATCAGCAAAATCATGATGGTTTCCACCTAGATGATCGTAAATGAGCAGTGATACAAACAGGATTCTCACATTTCTTTTCTTTTTTCTTTTGTTTGGTTTTTTGAGATAGGGTCTCTCTATGTAGTTGAGACTGAACTGGAACTCACTACGTAGGCTAGGCTGGTCTCAAACTCACAGCAATCCTCCTGCCTCAGCCTCCTGAGTGCTGGGATTACAGGCATGTGCCACCACACCCAGCTAATTCTCAGTTATTTCTAGACTTAATAAACTCCATATATATTTGATAAAAATGCAATCTCATTTCAAATATATGAACATTAGAGAACAATTTTTAAATTTGCTATTACGTAATCTTTCCCCAATACAACACATCTCTCATCTTCAGCTGCTTTCTCTGAGGCCAATCCCAAGCCTGTTTCAAGCCCTAACCTAATTTTTCTTGGAACTGCATTATCAACAGCTTACTAGACTTTTTTGTTATGTTTCATTATGCACAATTAAGTAATATTAAACAAAGTACTAAATTCTTCTCATGAGACTACTTATATTAATTAAACACTTGTTCTCTTAAGGAACAACAACATTTAAACAAGCCACAGTTTTGATTTTACACTTAAGAAATTAAAAATAACCAAGGGTAGAATGTTTAGAAGTATACATTTGTTTTTTTTTCCCTAAGTATATAACATACTTTTGCTTGGAGAACATAATATTTTGAGGTACTGGTAATATGTTATTGTAAAAATTTTTTAAACTTTTTATATTAATCACTTTCCACAATCCTATATCCTAGAGTTTAAAAAAACATAAAACTTGACTGGCTATATAAATAAATTTTTAAATTTTGTTCCATGTATTCCTTTATTAAAAACCTAAGTTTATCACTATCTACACTTACTTTGTATTTTAAAATTCTAGATTAATTCAGTAATAAAAAGGAAAGGCTTCTAATTAAATCACACCTAATTCCACCTATAACAGAGCCCCAAGTGCAGCATCAGGGCATACATACCACTTGGAGACACAATCACTGGCTGAAGAAGTCTTTGTTCTCCCCCGGGGGGAAGGTTTAGTGCAATGACAAGCACTGTTCCTAGGGTAGTTCCAACCCACAGACACGGGGAAGGAGAAGAGTCTGCCTTCCGAGTAAAAGTTTCACAGAAATGAAGGGCAGAGATCGCTTCTCGGGATTCTTTATCAATGCTTGTCACACTGGAACTCCGTGATCTGCTGAAGGAATTATCTTTTACATCTGAAACGATTTAAAATGTTGTGAGACTGCTCAAGTTATAAAATATCACTTTTTGGGATATAAATTTGGTCAAATAATAAATCTTTTTAAAAAACCAAATATTTAGTTGTAATTTTTAATTTAAAAAATAAAGTTACTATTATGTTAATACAATTTCCATGCTGCTTAAATATAAATAAAATACAAATGAATAAATCCAGTTTGCAGAACTGAGCGAGGTACATCACAATGAATTTGTGAATACATGGCATTTGTAATCCTTGTTGCTTTTCTAATTTTAGCACTCTAATTTGTTCTCATGGGGGAGTTTCTTCCTCCATTCCTCTACACAATTCATGATTAGGTAGAAATAGAAGAGTGAAGCTCTTTTTAACTTTCTACATATTAAAAAGACATCTGGAAGTACTCTGATGATGGGCCTCTTAAACACTTTCAAACAATATTTAGCTTTCATTTTCTCTGAACATAACTACTTAAGTACTTTTAGGGTTTTATTTGTGATTTTTCTGACTAGCATCTTTTTCCTACCTATCAAAGTTATATTAGTTTCTACTTTAGTTTATCCCGACTCTTACAACTACAGATACTTTCTCTCTTTTCTGGATACATAGCCATAGAACTTTGTTTCCCATGGCACTCAGAGTATATTTGTTCTGCAGTAATTTCTGAGTTGAATTATCCTCTGCTTTAATGTGACTGCAAATGTTTTAAGTGCAGGGACTGTGTCATTTTGATACTTTGCAGAATTCTACAAAGGGCCTTACTTATAAAAAGATATCTGATAAACACTGAAGTTAGATCTGTAGCCAAATATCAAAATCAGAGTTTCTGTGGTACCGTTAGCATATAAGGAAATTCATAGTAAGCTTCTCCAACTCACATCTAATAAGTCACTTTTCAAATCACTTGCTTTCAATGCATCTATGAAAGAAATGATTTCAGAATGTTATGAAAAAGAAATTAAGTTCTAAAATGTATTGTTAAATGGAAAGGTACAACCAAATCCTAGTTATAATTCTCCAAAAGCTTTCTGCAATCGAAAATTTCCCCTGATAATAATTGGGATTGAAAATATTACTCCCAATAATAATTCTGTGATTACAGCTAGCCTCTGGAAAGAAAAAAAATACTAATAATAAAACAAAAAAGGGTAATTTATAATTGTAGTTTTTGAAATCCTCTTTCTTTTGCCTCAGATACTATTTGATGTTACAGATTATGACATTGCAGAAAAGACCACTGCTATGATTTGAACATGGCCTGTGTGCGTCCCCCAAAGGTGAATGTGTCAGAAGCATGGGCCCCATGTGGCAATGCAAAAAGCTGATGGAATCTCTAAGAAGGAGGCCCAGTGTATGTGGAAGGGGGTTGGGGGGCGTATTTGTATTATTTAGGTCATAGAGGGGTAGCACCCTCTGAAGAGATATATGTAGTTTTTGAGAGAACCAGGTCAGTTACTGCTAGAGAAGGTTGTTAAAAAGAGCACCTTGGAGATTGAATTTTTCTGGGTTCTTCTCTTGCTATTTGATAGCTCTCATGCACTCCTACCATGATGTTATCCACTATGTTGTGATATGCAGAAATCCCTTACCAGAGCTAAGCAAATACTATCACCATGCTCTTGAATCTCCAGAACTATGAGCTAAATAAACATCTTAACTTTATAAGGCTCCCAGCCTCAGGCATTTTGTTACAGCAAGAGAAAATGAACTAAACTACTTAATGTAAATGAGACAACTTTCCATAATCAACAGTTCATTTTTCGATGGGCTTCTTATATGGCACTGATTCCAAGTATTATTTACTCTTTACAATTATGATGGCTATCTTAGTGAATAATAGAACATTTAAATTTGTTTTCCAATGATAAATATAATTTTTACTTAATACATATAAAAGTTGAACAGATACTTAGCTGTTATCTAGCAATAACAATGAAAAATAACAATACAAGAAACTTGATAATATAAATTTCAATGTGAACTGTGCAAAAACTTGTATCAGTATCTATTAAAATTACATCAGATGATTTATAATAACCTGTATGTTTCATAATTCATGGGCCAAAACAACATTATTTTACTTAATGGATTAAATTAACCACTAAAGCTCATAAACTACAAAAGCATTTTTATTATATGACTTATCTATAAAATTAGATTCTCCAAAAAACTCTTATGGCTAGATCAATATGGAAAAATGGACTGAATAGGAATTAAGCAAGAACTACATAAACCTAGGTTGCTGCTTTTATCATCTACCTACAATTATTGAAAATAAGTTGAAATTCTCAGTAGTTTATGAATTTTATCTTATTCCTAATAAAGTTAAGTTTCAAGGGTCCCTCTGGTTTAAATTTTAGAAACTGGAAAATTTAACAAATAGAATGTTTAGTTTTAAGCGCTCTAGTAAGAAAAGCAGAAATAAAAACTGCTACAATTAAGCAAGGCTTAACGTGTGCCACGCACAGTGATAAGACTCTGGATTTATTTACTGAATCCACGTAATCACCTTGAAAAGTATTATCATCATAATTTAACAAACAATTAAATAGAACCCCAAAGAAGTTACACAGGTTGCCCAGGATAACAAAGCTAATAAATGGAAGAATCAGAATTTGTGCCACTGTCCAAGTGTAAAATTTTCCATTAGGCAATTTCTACACAGCCTTAACAGCAATAACCTACAACTGGAAAGTTGTGATTACTGAATACCAAAACTCTGTTTAGATGACAGAAAATTTCTTCAGTAAGATCTTTCTGGCAGATATAAATGCAGATAAAATTCATCATTAATGCCTTCTTTCAGTTCTAGTTGACAGAAACCACAAAATCATTACTTTCTCACTATTCCTCTGGAGATCTAGAACATTCCTTTCCTATACATTACTCTCTTCTCTCTACATAATAGCTTTACACAGTGCAACTTAACATCTCCAGATCAAAACATAATGCCAAAAGATCAATTTGATTGGGGTAAAACTTAGGGACAAAAAGCTAATATCAAGGTATATTACAATTTGATGTATGCCTCCTATGATTAAAATTTTAAAAAGAATGCCAAACATACAACAAATTCCCATAAGCACAAATGAATCCCACTCACCAAAGCATCCAGAGGTACAGGACAATTCAACATACTCAGCTGCTTTAATAACACAGGTGGAACTTGAATCTATTAATACAGTTGAGCTTTTAACCTCATTGGTTCCTTGATCAATGTCTAACAATCAATAGCCAACAATCTCCACACACACAGAAGAATAGTTTAGCAGAAGAATAATTTGAAGGAAAATACTTAGGCAACAGGGGAAAATTCAAGGAATAAAATAGTTTAAATTATAACTGACACAATGCATTAAAATATAGACAAGCTAGCAAAACCATAAATTGGTTAAAGGACGGAGTTCACATGTGAATTAATTATATACACACACACACACATATATAAAATTTCTGAATTTCAGTACTTTTAAATATTGGTTATGTTTTTTACTAATTTTAAAAGTATTTCTAAATGAACTTTCTCAGATTTTAAGACACTAAAAAAACAAAGGCAAAACAAACACACAAAAAAAACCAAAGGCTAGTTTAATTAGTAGCATTTAATGATATCAAAATCATGAGCCTCTGAGAGTGAAATGAAACTCTGGGACCTTTTATAAAGAAAAAATGTGTAAATCTCAGATTTGGTTTCAAATTATACCTTTTATTTTTTAAAGTCAAGGGAACTATGCCATTCTCAAAACATAAGCTAACCTATACTGTTTAAGTTTTATTTTTCTTACATCGATGATACTACAGAGTTCTGCTAAATTGTTTTTCCTATAACTACAACATACTACTGATGATAGCTAATACATTATATATTTATTCACTAATAACGCTTATGGTACTTACATGCTCTTTTGGCACAAATTTCAATCTCATGTTGAATTTTGTTTAGATACAGAGTATGAGAGGGGTGAGGAAATGTATTGCTTTGGTTTGCTTGAATTTGTATTATATTTACAATTTACAAATAGCTTAAACTAGTCCAAAGGATATTTAATCGTCAAACATCTTAGTCATTTTAAACTTTATTTCTGATGAAATTCTAGATGACAGTAATTTTATATCATTTGATTTTTTGTCTATCACAGACAATTCAATATTTTTGGATATTTATTTTACTTACCTAAATCGGGCTTTAGGTCAGTAGGCAAGCTTAATTTCCTTGACATCTTTGCTGAAAAATAAAATGTATATTTTTAAATTCTGAAGAATAGTTTATTCTTTGCTTAACACCAACTGATTTTTAAGATAGAAGTGAATACTTTTATTACTAAGGCTAGATGCTAATTAAAATTTGATTAATAATATTAGGAGTGGAAATAAAATCTTAACTTCCAACTTTTTATAAGTTTATAGTACTTACTTTACTTGATGTAGTATCTTTGTGTCCTTGAAGTACTTACTTCAAGGAAGCCTTTTACATTTTAACATTTAATTATTACTTAGGCTTACAGGAAAGGGCTAGACTTTTCTAAGTGAAAAGTCATTTCCAGAAGATATTGTAGATGAGGGCAACAGAGGCCCCAGGCAAAGCTCAGGTAAGTGATAGAAAATCTTTCCAGCGTCTCGCCTTCAGTTATTGGGCTTATTGCTTTAAAAGTTAATTTGTAGAATAGTCACACCTATTTCTACAATCAAATTAAAAATTTTGATTACATCATATCCGACTCAGCCATGACTTCATAAATTAATATTTCCATTTATATTTCAGTGACAAAAAAGTCATGTTTAATCTAAAATTAAAGTATTTATATAATAGGACTCATGTAGTATTAGAAAAATTAAAAGCTAATAAGTAAACTTAATGGGATTCACTTTCCATCCTCAAAATCAGTTATTGTCTTAATCTGGGAAGTAATTTAAAGTTAGGAGCTGCTCAACTATTTTTACTATGTTAGTGGTAGTGCATGCGTAACAGAATAGGGCTCCCTAGTTGTAATTTTGAAAAAGTATGTGTTTGTTAATATATGAATGCATACACTAGGTTAAACTTTGGACTGTTAGGAGATATTTAAAGCACAGACCCTGCTAGTCCATAAGGGCGCCATGTAAACAAAGAGAAATCCAGTCATAGTACATAACTTCCACATCTAAAAAAATGACAAATCCAATGTTAGGAAAGAGGCATTAAGTAGACTGGAAAGGGATCAAGGAGGATGACATCATTAAAAAAATACCTCAAAGCTTTATTAATCTAATTAGTATCCTTTAATAAACAAAATGGGTATTTTCATTAATTTATAAATTCTAAAAAGTGTTAGTACAAAATTAAAATAGCCAGATAAAATCTATGGTTAGTTGATCTCACATACATGGCCATCACATGTTTGATACACAATACCCTTAAAATCAGAAGACATTATATCCAAAAAACAGTACCCTAAAAGGCAGCAGTGTATAATTTCAAAGAATCCAGAGGTTTATACCCAACAGCATAGGTCCATTTCTTTTTCTTTTTTTTGTACCGGGGATCAAACTCGGGCCTTGTGCTTACAAAGCAGGAAGCAGAACCACTGAGCTCAATCCCCACAGACTGCTAAGTAGTATCTACACAATATATATAGCACCCAGCACCTGTAGTAGATCAATTTGACATAAAGATCTTAGAATTTATGATACAGATGCTACCTCTATACATCCTACTAGTCTGATTTGTTCAAGTTATTTTCGCTTGTGCTTTTCAAACTTGGATGTTTATACCAATCATGGCAGTATATTCTTGAAATGCATATTCTAATAATAAAGCCTGAGAAAAATTTCTAACAAGCTCCCAGAAAATGCAAATTTAGCTGGTTTGTGGGCTGCACTTTGAATGTAAGACCTTTAGACTACAAGTAATTTTATGGCAAGAATCAGCACAAATTCATTAAGCCTAATGTGTATATACAGTGTGTGTGCCCACACATACATGTGTACACACTCTATTTCTTGATAAGCTTCTCTGTTGGGAGGGAAGGAAAGGATCAGGGAAGAAAAATATGAATTGGATGTTATTTAGTGGTTAGGACTACATTCAAAACCAAACCAAACTTGAGTTTGAATCTACCTCAATCAGTTATGTGGCCAATTAGTTTGCCTCTCTAAACTTTGAAGTTCCTCATCTGAGGATATGAGGCCAGTTGTGGACTATGTAACATGATGTAAGCAAAGAATTAAGCACAATAACCAGGCACACAGAAAGATTTAATAGGTGTTACTACTAATGAGTATTAACAGCATAAATTATACAACACTATACAAATAAGCTATAATTATATTTGCAAATAATCCATTGGTCCTTCATTCTAAGTCTACGGTAATATTCCAGGTAACACAAAACAAGGAAATAGGGGAAAAAATAAGGACAAGAGTAAGCACAACCTTTCAAATTCATTTCAAAAACTAATTTAAATATACAGGTAAACATGCAACAGAGAAATAATTTTAAAAGTACAAATTATAAGCTTGCTTTTCTTTAAATAGATTTTAAGGGAATTTATCAGTTAGAAATGTTTGTATTCATGCTTTCATTAACTAGACCTGTTTCTGTCAAAAATATCACTAGATTTCCTTCTGAATTTTATTAAGTGAACACTTTTTTGGGGGGGGATCCTGGGAATGGAACTTAGGACTTTGTGTTTATGAGGCAGGCGCAGTGTCACTGAGCTAAATCCCTGGCCCTTAAATGTATGCTTTTGAAGAGCAGGAAGGAGATGAGAGAAGAGATTTAAATCCCTGGGATTAAAACTTTTGATAAGATATTTCTTTAAAGGGTTTCTTTTCTTTGTGTGATGAGGCATGTATCTAAATGTCTGTTAACTGACAGGTGGTAGAACTGTGGATCTAGCATGGGTTTGTCTTAAGTGGAACTGCTAACTTGAGCTATAATCATCTACCGTATGGAATGTTTACATTTTTCTTTCATTTCATATACATTTTAGTGTGAAGCCTGAAAAATTTCATGCAGTGGTTGTGTGCCAGACATATCATCAGCAACAGTTAAACTAGATTTACAAAGTCATTTTTATAAAAATAATATATTATAAAGAATTAAAACAATGCAAGAAAATACAAGTTTAAGACATCTTGCCAACTAGAAATAACAATTAATAGTAATTAAACATCCTTCTGATTCTCTTTGTAGGATTCAACGGATCATTACTGATATTTACAGTAACTCAATCCTCCTGATTTTGAATTCTCTTGTTTTTCTAACTTCTTAAGATGTCGACTTAAGATCACTGAATGAGAATGGTTCTTTACAAATACAAGTGCTTAAAATATAATATTTCCCAGACTTGGCATCAACTCTCACAAAGTTCTAGGAATTCTTATCTCAGTAGTTCCTTTCTTAATAGCGTGCTCCACAAATTCTATTCACTATAGCATCCTAGAATCACAGTCCATCTCCTTGGCTTAGTGCAACTCCACTTGGGCTCCACCTACCCTGTGCTGCAAGTGGAGAGGGCTGTGAGGTAGACAGCTGGGAGACTTCTGGAGCTCACCTCATGCTCTTTTTCTCTAAAGGTGACAGTCCTGGAATGTTTGTTCAATTCCTGGGAATGATAGGTTCCAATATCTGGATCAATTTTATGGTTTTCTCTAGAAAGTTAAGCTGTAAACATTACGGTTTAAAGTTGAACTTTAGAATAACAATCTGCATCTTTTCACTTCTGTGACTTCTGGGGAATATACTTATTTGCAAATCTGTCAACTTTCTGGAGGGCAGGTCCAAAAGAGGCAGATCCACCTCTGGGGAGCTTCTCTCTGGTCAGCTCTTGTGGCTAATTTCCTGTACTTTGGCATAGTTTTGTCCTGAGAGGATTATAGATTTTATCCAGTGATTCTATGATGTTGACATTTTTACTTCTCAGAAGCACTTGCCAATCCAGTTATTCTGTCATCTGAGTTTAATGCATTTATCAAGAAACTTCTTTTCATCCCTTGACATTGCTCACATTCAACCGTGGCCTTCAAGCAGAAGGCATAGGATTTAAATGAGTCCCTGGAAGACAGACTGTTTTTCATTTCTTCACCTGTATACTCTTCAACTCTTGCCCCCAACACTTGGTATCTTCCTTGTTTTCAAAATCTTTGTCACTGGAAAGTACAAACTAGCTCCTTTTTCTAAGCTTTTATGCACATAAAGAATGGGAACAATAGCAAAGAGTTCCTAAATCTGAGGAAAACTGCTGCAACAAAATACCACAGGCTGTATGTTTTATTTAAAAAAAAAAAAAGATTTAGTTAGGGCACATTTTTGGAAGTGGAAAGTCCAAGACTGAGTAGACTTATTGATTCTGCCATTCATGAAGGGTGATGGCCTAATGGTGGCAGTAGGTGTGAGAAGAGATTACATAGTGAGGAAAGAAGCCAGAGAGGGATACATGGCTTTTTCATAACAAGTCATCCTAGTGGGAACTAACCAGGTCTCCAAAACACTACATTAATCCCTTTGGAGGGCAGGAACCCCAGTGACTTAATTACTTTGTTAAGCCCTACCTTTTACAGGTTCTCCTACCTCTGAATGTGGCCTCACTGGGGAGTAAGCTTCCACTTAATGGAATTTTGGAAAACCTTCTCAAACCATGTCCAAACCACAGCAAATACCAAAAAAGATGTATGATGTTCAAGAAACAAATCTTCAGGCAAAGAACTGCTTAGGCCACTATAATGTAAAGGACTGTTTAAAAAATGTATTTAGTTTATTGGTACTTTTTAGGTACACAGTACAGTTACATTCATCAATGGGATCTTGTACCTTCACATGATGTATCTTGGTTATTTTTTTCCCTACCCTTGCCCTTTCTTCACCCACTCCACCCTTCCCACTGACAGTTTTACCATAGTTGATGATTTTTAGTCCTTTATAAATGGAGAAATCTTGTAAGGTTTCTTAATTGTGTAGATTCTCATTGTTTGTTTGAAATTAAACAGATACTTTATAATTTTCCTTGGGTTTTTCTACCCATTGTGCTCATATTTAATTTTCTACACACGATTTTTTTAAAAGAAAGTAAAATAGAACCACAAATGCTACTTTTGCAGAATGTGATTTTTTTGGGGGAAGGTCTGTGAGATTGGGGATTAAATTCAGGGCTTCACAGTGAGCTACATCCCCAGAAGTTTATTTTTTATTTTGAGACAGTACCTCATTAAGTCACTACATTGCCCAGGCTGGGCTCAAACTTATGA